GTGAAGTCAAAATGACTAAAGGAGTTGATGATGGCAAAGTGGAACCTGGTATCGATATTAAAGCAGAGCAGGAGAAAGATCAAGATTTGAAGCCAATAATTGATTTTTAAAAAGCAAGTGTTTTGTGTCCTGCTTGGGAGAAGTCTTAGCCCTGTGACAAAGCACTATTGGGCACATTGGAACCAGTTAAAGCTTGAAGATGGTATTCTTGTCCGGAGATGGGAAACTATAGATGGGAAATTGACGACTTGGCAAACATTTATACTGAGGAAGTTACGGGAAGTTGTGCTGCATCAATCCCATGATAATTTAACAGGAGAACATCTCGGAATTAGGAAGACATTGAGTCATCTACAACAAAGATTTTACTGGATAGGTATGAGGCGAGATGTGGAAGAATGGTGCAGAACATGCAGTACATGTTGTGCTAAAAGGGGATCCAAGCATAAAGGACGCCCACCTTATGAAGAGTTGCCTGAGAATGTGTCCGAGTTTGTGAAAGTGTTATCGGAAAGGATTGATGATATTCACCATCAAGTGCGTTCAAACTTGAAAACGTCTGCTGATTCGATGAAGCTATCTTATGATAAGAGATTTACTGAAGTCAGCTTTGAACCAGGAGACAAGGTGTGGTTGTATAATCCCAGGAAGACCAAAGGGAAGTCTCCTAAGTTGTCTTCTCCATGGGAAGGCCCATATGACATAGTGGATCGTCTCTCAGAAGTGACTTTCCGATTCAAATGTGGTCGGCGAGGTAAGCCAAAAGTGGTGCATGCCAACAGGCTTTGGCGTTATCACGGTCCAGGACATTTCAGTTGGGATGAAGTGAACAAAGGAACAAATGATGCTGCTGAAGAAGTGTCACCTGAAAAAGCCACTGTCGAAGAAGAAACTATACTCAGTTTTGAGAAGGGAAACGGCGAAGCTCTTGATGAAGTTACTACCACTGATGTGACTGTTATCGACGATAGGACATTTCCTGATGAAGCAGAAGCCAACGAGACAAAGACCAGTACGGAAGAAGATACGTCCCGTAAAATTTAGAGACTTTGTTAAATTGTAATTTTGTGTTTGTAATTCTGTACATTTAATTAAGTTATTGTTAATGGTTATTGGTTTATTGTAAATGGCTATTGTTCGGGACGAACAATACTAAGGAGGGGCAGTGTTGCGTCAGTGAGGTCACGTGATTAGTATCACACCACGTCCTTCTAGAAATATCCTGTTCCTTCATGAATGCTCTAGCGTTTAATAGATATGTGTTAGTCTTGTATATATAAGATGGTCACAACGTGACGGAACAGAGTGTGTGTAATTGAACTCAGTATTGTTGAGTCGAGCACATGAGACGTTCTTTGAGAATTATAGCGTTTGTTATAGCGCGACTGTTGAAATTACGTGTATCGCAAAGTTATATTCAGAAAGAATAAACCAGTTTTATTTAAGAAAGGACTTTGTCGCTAAAGTTTCGTCGGAACGAATTAAGGAAAATTAACTAACGAACGGAGGCGTAACAATATCATAACTATACTAATATAAAACTTATTTGCATAGCTCATAAAATTTTAAGAAAACCATTTGTTAAGTGACTTTAAACTTAAAATGAAGGACACTGTTACACCACCTCAATCTTCTTGTAAAAATTTAAAGAAATTTTAATATTTTATTCCACAAAATAAACATTTTCCTTCTATCTGTAAAACTTAAGTTCTAACAAAACAATACATTGAAAAACTAGAAACTGATACATGTATAAAACTGACTTTAAACATGCAAAATTGTTAAAAATGTTATAACTAGCATAATATATACTACATATTGATTCAAATTAAGTTGTGCTACTTAAACTATATATATATTATTTTAATATGTAGCTGGCCTTAAAGTAATATTTCATGAAATTTATAAAGCCTCTATTAACACGATTTTCAGAAACTGTTTTGTATACACATTTGAATTTCTTTCCACTAAACAGAAATAAAACCTACTGTAACATGTTAAAACCAAGTAACGTTCTAATACAAATGAAATTTAGCATTTTTTCTAGAGAATAGAGGCAAAAAAGTTTTATCAGATATTATAATCAAGTAATTTTTTAAGATAAATAAAATGTCCCATATATGATACATAATTTTCACTTTGTTTTCTACAATAAAACAAATACTTGACACAATAAAAGTAAATAAGCTGACACAATACTTTTATAAGCAACATTGTTTTTATATTTGTAATTTATTTTACATTGGAATTAAAATTATTTTTGGAAAATAAAACATCTTAGTCCTTCTGATATACATGACTGAACAACATTTAACACGATATTCAATTAATGGGAGTGACTGGCAGTACTACCATAAACATATTTTGGTAACTACATGAGTTGTTACAAACCAGCCCTGTTCATATGCCAGCCTGTTATTAGGTTTATTATTTGAGTTAATTGTTACACACAGCTTCTTGGAGTAAAACTTTGAATATTAAACAAATCTGGTAACAGATATGTAGTCAGTAATGAATTTTACACTACACACAACTCTACAGTCACTGTTACTGATATCAACACATTAAGATGTCTTTATACAGGTCACTAGGATCCTGTCTCAACTCCAGTATTCCATATTAGAGTCCAGTTTGAACTAAAGTTTTGACATTTAGAAAACCAAACTGGAGTTTTATGTCACCCTGAGGCATAAGTATACTTGTAGATAGGCTGGTTATTTCCTTAGGCATCTTGTAAATGGAAGAATTACCATAGTTAATATACAATATTGGTTTTATAACAAAGTAGCTATAGAAAAACGTTTAACTATGATTCTGTTTTATACACATGCACATATTTGGTTCCAAGTATACTAACTCTAGATTTTATTATTATTGTACATTACAAGATTATCTCAGTCATAATCTCAGTTGTATAAATACCTAAAAAATAGTTCTAAGTATTACATATATCATTTCAGACATACCAAGTATCAGGTGAAGTTTTGCATCAGTCTGAAAAGCATAGTGCAGAGTAACAAGAAATGGAGACTGACGAATGGACTCCAAAACCTGACGTTCTGTTTTCGTATGCTCAAGTGTCTTTTGTTTTTGTACTATGGCTGCTTTCTTCAACACTTTCATGGCATATAGCTTTCCATGATCTTGACCTCCTACTTTTCTGACTAGGAAAACCTTTCCATAAGCTACAGAAAAAAAAATACTTTTTAAAATATGTACTATTCATATATTGTGCAGTAAAACAGTGAAAGAAAACAAACTAAATGAATATATTACACATTTCATCACATGGAGATCTACTTGGATTTCATTGAAATTAATAATACAGTTTTGCTTACTCTGTTGATCTATTATAAACTGAACTAAAAGTTAAAAAATGGCCCAACCATGAATACTAACAAATTATCTGGAAATTAAACATTTGTCTAATAATAGAATAAATACTTTTCATGCTCAAAAAAAAAAAGAAATAGTAAAATATTACTTGAGTTTCTGTATTAAAATAAATTTACTTCACTTAACATTCATGTCAGTCACTATCAAATGAAAACTTACCAGAAATATATGAGAAGTGTAATATGTTTATGATCTCACATTATTATTAAAATCAGTGAATTTGTGCACAAGTATCAGTAACTAAATAAATATACACTGAAGAAGCTAATAGGAAAAGCATTCTATGTCACTGAGAAAAGTTTGCATGAATGTCACTACAACAAAAACAAAAAGAATAGAGCAGTGGGTATGAATAAAAAAATTACAATCATTTTATCATCTATCCATGAATAACATCAAATTCTTGATGATAAGATTAAAATGGAAAAACAGCAAAAGGAGAAAATATATCAACATATTCATGAGTTGCACAAGTTTTGAGAAGGAATTCAACAGTTAAATAAATGATCAAATGCTACCTTGAACATAGTATATGAGAGAAGTTAAATATGAAAAGATCCAACTGAATGTGATTAGATACTAAACAAGAAAAAAATTAAGACCTAAATAGAATAAAAAGTTCAGGCCAATGGTTTAAAAAAGGATTGAATGTGAAATCCTTTAAAGCTAAACAAGTTTTAGTCAGAATAGTCAGCATTATTAAGAGATTCACATTGTTATTGAAGTGTGAAATAAGTCATATAAATGAAATATGCATTGGGTAAAAAAAAACTTGTAAGAAGGTGCCAAAGCAGTCCTTTAACTAATACTACTGACAAAAGAAAAACAAGTAAAAAATTAAGACAAATTAGAAGGAGGAGGAAATAAGAAGAACAGAATAATACCTCATGGCCATAAACAAACACTTTGGACTACAAAAATCAAAAAATAAATTAAAAGACAGCTCAGGAGATGTCTTTTCTGTTTTGTACAAGAAATGGAACAAAGTCAAGCACATAAACAGAATCAACATATTGTAATGTAACATAACACTGAAATGTTCAAAATGATAAAGAAGAGTGCATCAGAAAAGTAAGAAAAGATGACTAT